GAAGCTTTTAGGTTGTTGCAGCACGAGATACTTTGAGCCAAGCTGTTTCCGCAGCCAAACTCTGGGCAGAATCCTGGAGATGAGCCTGCCTTTGCCTTTGAGTGAAGGGACCGATTGCAACACTTTTGGCGGTCAACATCGCTTCCTTTCTTCGAAATCGGGGGGCTCTTCTCATAACAAGGGCCGGATGCCAAAGAAACAACAAAGTTTCGACGCGCTTTTCTATTCTATTGACAGGACATCACACACAAACACACACTCTGACATTGGTTTGCTGTTAACTCAATTCCCAAGCTGAGAAGGAAGGTGAGGGAACGGTAAGGTGCATGAGTCCGCAAAACCAGTATTGTTGAACATCGTGTTGAAAGGCACTCGCAAGCGGTCAGCGCGCGGCAGCTGAAAGCGGCGGAGGGAAATGGTTTGGGGGGAAGTATCATGAACTACCATGGAAACAAAAAGAGAGATTGGACAGCGTGAGCAACAGTTTCTTGTGCAGGTACGTCGGCAAGCGTCCTTGCCGATATCCTCAGGACACTGCAGAGAGCTTTGTTAAGTGGAGCTCTGCAGGCCTGCTCCACTCCCCTGCTTGGTAGTACAATTGGTAGGAAGTAACCCTTGGAGACAGGGGTTGACGCACACACGGTGCCACTTTGCGGCGCTCGTGCGAAGAGCCTGAATAGTTACCTAAAAAGCCTTAGAAACAAAGGAAAGAAACACAGAAAGAGCAGCGCTAAGAGGGCAAGAGAGAAAGGTAGGAGTAGAAAAAAAGTGAATACTTAGCCCTTGACTGGGGTAGGGAAACGAGCCTCAAGAGCAACCTAAAAAGCCTGAGAGAAAGCCCAAGAAACGACCAAAAGCGCAAGAAAGAAAGCGGGGGGGGGGCAGGGAGGTGTATGTACATGTGTGTGTGTCCGTGTGTGTGTGTATGAATACTTAGTACTCTAGAATTACTGTTTACTTAGCGGAGGTGAATTAAATGCAATAGTTAGGGAGCGGGACTTTAGTCTTAGACCGCCCGGGTAGAGAAGACTAGAACAGGGACAACAAAGGGAAAGGCACCGACACACAAGTGTGTCGAGTACCATTTCCCTGTGTTACCCTAATTAGGTAGGGAGGGGGGTTGGGAAACCTGCTTCAAGTGGGTTGAATTCCGTTTTTTAGCCCGGCAGCTGTGGTATCCGTGAAAGCCCGGCGGCTGTAGAGTCCGTCATTTCAGTGGTGAGACTAAGGCTGTTAAGAGAATTCACGATGAAAAAGCGATGAATCTGTGACACGATCTCCGGCATGAGAACGGCGCCTCCTTGCACACCCGGCACCCAAGTGGGACGGCTGAGCGGTTCACACTCTGACATTGGTTTGCTGTTAACTCAATTCCCAAGCTGAGAAGGAAGGTGAGGGAACGGTAAGGTGCATGAGTCCGCAAAAACAGTATTGTTGAACATCGTGTTGAAAGGCACTCGCAAGCGGTCAGCGCGCGGCAGCTGAAAGCGGCGGAGGGAAATGGTTTGGGGGAAGTATCATGAACTACCATGGAAACAAAAAGAGAGATTGGACAGCGTGAGCAACAGTTTCTTGTGCAGGTACGTCGGCAAGCGTCCTTGCCGATATCCTCAGGACACTGCAGAGAGCTTTGTTAAGTGGAGCTCTGCAGGCTTGCTCCACTCCCCTGCTTGGTAGTACAATTGGTAGGAAGTAACCCTTGGAGACAGGGGTTGACACACACACACACACACAAACACTGTGTGATCAAAAGCAAAAAGTTAAACCGTCGGCAATTCAGCATGCCCTGTTTGCGAATCCACGCGTGGCTACACTAGGAACAAGAAGCTACTAGGGGCTCCTGGCCATGCTACTAGGAGCAAGGACGCTACTAGGGGCTCCTGGCCTTACTACTGGGAGCAGGGCTCGCTACTAGGGACTCCTCAGCTTTGCGTATCGTCCTTTTCGTCACAAGTCTTCGCGGGGCGGTCCCTCATCCACTACCTGCGAGAGCAAGCGGTGGAGAAAATCCAATTTATCCAACGAAGGTGAGTTCCATTTGTTGTGACTTTTTCATTCTTTCTCTTGTCAAACCGGGAGAGGATCGAACATAGCCTACCCAACCATCCTCCAGTCGATTGGTCAGCTTGCAAGTGTGCTTTTGACTCTCTCACTCTTGAGGATGTCCTTTTTCGGTCTTAATTTCCATGTTCGTTTCTGTCCAGCTGTCGCGAAGCGCAATCCTTCTTCCCACCCCTTTCGATCCGAAAACTCCACGGATCTGTCGAACCCAACCCGGCTGGACGCTACGAACGGGGCTCCTGGCCTTTCTAGTAGGAGCAAAGGATGCTACTAGGAGGAAAGGGCATCGCTACTAGTAACAAGAAGCTACTAGGGGCTCCTGGCATCGCTAGGAACAAGGACGCTACTAGGAGCAAAGGGCATAGACTCATCACATCTACTTTCCACAGAAATCATCTGGGCCACTCAGTTCTTTCTCTCACACCCTAGAGATCCTTAGAGTGCTAGCTAGCTGACTCTCCCTATGAAGAAATCCCAAGCCACCACCGACTTGATGGATTTCATCGTCTCCAGCATCTGGCTCACTGCGATGAGGCACCTGGCCCATTCACCAACCGCAGCTGTTTGGGGTATGCAAGGGATCCACCGACAGAAACCACAGGAAAACCCGGTGTGCTTCCTCCAAAATACGGTGGGTGATTTGAATGCCCAATCTCTCAGTCGACCAATTGCGTTTGGAGAGTGAACAAAACCTTTTGCACCTTTCAACCAAAATCGTGTATGTGAGTTGTAAGTACCCTTGTTTCTGAATGGAACTGACAAAGTCCTGTAAAGAAGAGCATAAAAGTCTCGAAGGAGTGGGAAACACATTTACTCCTGTGACATGCCACGGAGAAGTCTGTCCTTCATCATCATCGTATCAGCATCCATCAGAAAAGCTACCATGACATTCCATGACTGCTGATTGGAAGCGTTTGTTTTTCAAACAATCATCCATGCATCAAATTTCAAGACTATTCTCCAAGCCACATCGCGGTATCATCCACCCGCAAAGTCTTCCTATCCTCCAACCGCAGCTGCTCCTCGTCCCGGAAGAAGCTCCCCTCCAGGTGTGAGGAGAGGAGTTCGAACTCCTCATTGGAGCCTTGTAAAGGTCCCAGGTTAGAGTCGGAAAGCTGATAGCGGCGGATGTCCTTCTCCATAAGTTGAAGCACAACCTAGCGACGATGACTCGGGTATCAAACGATATCTACAAGCCTTAGGTTCAATAGTTTTCAAGTTGTATGGACATGGTTTTATTATGGCAATGTGATATGGTGTTCTTGGATGATATAATTCCAAATACTGATTAGGATATGGATTTGGACATGATGATTATGTACAGTATAGATATACACTTTGGTACACTTCCTCATTCATTGAAGAGTCAAGCATGAACTCTCCTTTTTTGCAGAATCTGGGCACTGAAGTCAGTCCCCATTGGGGAAGAACAACTCCCACATGGTTGGTTGGTCCTGTCTTCGGATTGCCTTTGGCACACTTCCTCCTTCATTGAAGAGTCAAGTGGCTCACTTTGTGAACCCCTCCCTTTTGCAGAATCTGGGCACTGAAGTGAGTCCCCATTGGGGCAGAACAACAAGAACACACACCCAGTGCAGCCCAAATTGGTCTAGAGTTTTGAACCTGGAAAGCACGAACGGGTGGGTCTTGCCAGTCACCAAAACTGAACTGTGTGCTTAGCAAAGTGTTGAGACAGTTGCAGGAGCATTTGACCCAGCCAAGAACGTCTCAAGACATTGAACCGCCTCTAAGAAGGGTCGTCCGGGCAATGAAACTACGCAAGAGATACAAACCCACTATGAGCTCACAATAGGCTTAAAGCACGTGTGCATTCCTAGACATATATATATATATATATTATATAGATATACCTAGGTCCATTTCGTGCCTTGCTTTTAGATCTATCCCATATATTGAACTAGATTGCGGCCCTTCTGTAAAAATACGGCCCTTTGTTAAATAAAACTGTAGTTACGCTTTTCTGCTGGGTCTGGCTCTTCTATATATATATATATGTATATATATATTACTATATTGACACAGGTTTTCATGTGTCTTGAAACGAGCATCAGAATATGGATCGAATTGAATGTGCTCGAGACATTTCTGTGTATTGACATGTGTATCAACACATGTATTGAAATCAATTGACATTTGTATCCAAAAACCATATCGCCCAAATAAATATTACACCAGTAAAACACGTCATTAGTTTTTGGGTCCTAAGGAGTTTGGGACGTCATAAGAGCGAAACAAGCCGTTTTCCAAACAAACAGAAACACATCTAATCCATTGACAAGGTCTCTGGTGCCGCTCCGTTTTTTGGAACCAGTGACTGTAGTCTATAGTAGTTATCAACAAATCAACCCTTCGTTTAGTTCCTACAGCAACGCCATGATACACTCACTGTGACATGTACTTTTTGCCACAGATTGGTCCTTAGTATTCATAATATGTATTAATGAGATTCAGCTGAAGCACCATCTGACATATCTGACTCATGGATGATGGTCTTATGGGCTCTCTTGACTCTTCTTTCGATCTAGGAGCAAGGACGCTACTAGGAACAAAGGCATCGCTACTAGGAACAAGGACGCTATTGTTGTTCTCGATGTCAAGCATTCTCTGTGGTCGACCCACGGGGTCCCAAAGTGGAACACCAGGGCTATGGTTTTTTCCAAGACCGGACCCGGGAAACAAAGAGCAAACTGAACAGAATCCTCAGCAATATCACCCAATCACATGGTTTTAGGATGCTTTAGGTGGTTTCAGGTTGACCAACTCCTACATCCTCAACAAACTCCAGGCCACTGGTCAAAGCCCTCACCCCCATACTGCCTGTATTAGCTCCGCATCCTTCAGAATGGCGGCCAACGAAGCCAAGCCCTGCAAGGGCCCGCAGGTGTACCGAGCGCCACCAATCCTTGCACATCCACACGAGCTGTGGGTTGCTTGGGGTCATGTAGCGTGTAGGTGCGGTTTTAGCCAAAGCGTTCGGACGCTTAATGAGCACATCCTGAGACCCCAAGATTTGTTTGCGCCTGGCTGAGATTTTGGGACATGTGGGGCCATTTTGTTGGAGGCCTTCATCAAACACAATTCTTCTAAAACGGTCATCTTCTTGAGGTCCACATGAAACATGCCCACATGGAACAGTATATAATGATTGGAGAACTATGGGCCCATTCGCATACTGGTGTCTTTTGACGCTCAATGCCGCAGTTGGTCCAACCAACAAGGGGGCTTTTCATGTACAGTATGAAAAGGATTGAAAGGGGGTCCCTTTTCATTGTTACACCATGTTACACCCTGCTAGCGGCTATGATTCCAGAGTAGTCCACCTCTAGAGTCTAAACGTGACCCTGAATTCATCGTTGCTTGGTAGTTCATCTCGGACCGGTGCCCGCAAACATAACCACTAAGAACCAATTCTTCTAAATTCAAAATACTTTTCCACACTTTCAGGCCAGCTGAACCGAAATGTCCCAGACATCTCAATCACTTCATCGACATTAATTTGATCTTTCATCTTTAGATTCTAAGTTGGAGGCCATCGCTAGCAGGGTGGAGGCCATCGCTCTTAAGCTGGAGGCCTTTGCTAATTGGTTGATCTTTTGCATCCTATAACTTGGATGCCTTCACCCCCCTTAAAGAACCGCCCTTGGCGACGTTCTTCCAGGGTGCCGAGCGAGGATCCCCTGGGACAGGCCCTCAGGACCATCCTTTAGATGCAAATGCTGCCGCCCCAGGAAGCGGTCCACATGCTCACTGGCCCAGTTCGAAAGCGGCTCCGAGCCTTCTTCTTCCTGGGAGGGCTCGAACCACGCCCAGTGGGTATCTTTGTTGGTTTTGGAAGGCGGAGGCCGACCTGGCAAAGGAAATCAAAACGACACGTTGTTCAATTTAGCAACTGCTTTCACTGCTTTCCAACCTTCCCCCAACGTTTTTGAAAACGCATGATAATCAAAGCCAAAGCCAACTGAATGGCCTCGTTCTGTCTTGCAGAGTCTTGCACAATCTCAGGATACAGGAATGCCCAGAACAAACCAACCTTCCAAGAACATCAACCGTCGACAAAAACAAACATCCACCCCAAAGCAATCATTTCTGTGGATATCTCCTATTCGTCGCATCGTTTCATGGGGAAGCGTCGCTCGCTGGACGATCCACAGCGTTCGTTCCAAAACTTGGCCTGCGATGACATGCGATCACCACCTCAAATCCACATCCCTGAGCCAAAACAGGTGTTGGAGCTGCTAGTAGAATCTAGAAATCAAACACACTATAGCGCCTGAGGAAATGTACACTATGAGTGACAACATATGAACAACCAACCCTCCCTGATGCACCCCAATCGCCCATCATCTGGTCGATCACGGGTGCGACTTGGCGTCTTGGCGGCGGCAAAACGAACGCTCAATGCGCGAGCGGAGGCAAAGGACCAGTGCTCACCTCGTTTGGCAAAAAGCGAACGTGCAAAGGCTGCGAAAACTTGGGAAAGTGATTGCTAATGTTGAGGTATGCATGTCAGCGCGTACACCGATGGTTAGCCGAAGGTATGCCGAAAGTATGTGTCTGAACGTCTTCAGTTGATGAGGTATGCTTTCAAACTTCGGAGCAACATGTTCTCCAAAGAAGCCACACGAGGCTGGCCTGGTATGGGTCCAGAAATAGATCATAAAGAACTAAGCTGAACCAATACTCGCAAGCTCAGAACCCCTTGCTTTTGATGGGTTCTGAGCTTGTTGTGAACTGATGACTCTGGGGCTTTGCCTGTTGATGCTTGGGCCATTGGTAGTCTTGAGCGACCTGCCTCTTGACCCCTAAATTGGCATCCTATGGGTACATCTCATCAGTACAGTATAATCCATGAATTTATAGAAGAACGATGGTTCTTGTAGAACCTATGAGGAATTAGGCCCTCAAAGATTTGTTTGAAGCATTCATTCCCCACCCGTCTGGTGACCTCAGCTTGAGCACTGGTGGGATAAGCCAAAGGTGGCGTGAGCTTAAGGGAAAGTCCTTTGTCGACCGCAGCAACCCAGCTTTCTTTTCACCGAGCATAGGTTTAAGATGATGTTTTCAGAAGATCATACTATATTTCCCGCTTACAATCTAATTCTCATTCTCCTCCTCCTCCACCTCCTGCGTTTCATCATTCTTTCCCATGTTTCTTCTTTTCCCACTTCTTCTGCTATCTGCAAGAATCTTGCTCTTGTTCATGCCGGAGACTGATTCATCAAACAATTGGATTTGTCCCAAAGTGATGGCTTCTCAAAGGATATACATGTGATTCTTGACAACTAGTGGACCTAGAAAACACCGAGGCCACCGAGTCCTTGGATCAGATCGTGCCAAGCCGCTGTTCTCCTCCCACACATCACGCAAGAAGAGCTCAAAGCGATGCCTGTGAAGCTGGTGAGGCGGACGTGGATAGCGGGTCAAGAATCAGCAAAACTCCAGTGAACAAAAGAGCAACTGACAAGAGGATTTTTCCAGATAGGAACAAGGACGCTACTAGTGTCTCCACGGTTTCAAGCTTCCAGAGGCGGAAAAGCACATGCCTAACGCACCACGGTTAAATTGGTATGATATTGGTATGACGTTACGACGTATACGGCTAACGCTACGGCGTATAGCGCGGGACGGGTTTGGCGTATTCGAAACCTTCAAGTGTTTGGATTGTCCGCAACCACACTCTGCTGACACTGGTCTGTGTTCACGGCTCTGGTGGGCTTGAAACTGTGGTTACGTGACATCTGACATGTCTCTCGAATTGAAAGAATAACAAAAAAGAGATAATTGAATAGAGTCCTCGATGTTTGTTGTCTGTATAGGTAAAAGAAGCACTTGTGTGTGATATGAACTGTGTGGTTTGCAGGTGAAAAGTAGAATCTAGCCTCCGCACAAATATGCTACTGTATTCTGAAGGGGCACCCGTGGTACGTAGCGCGTAAACACCCGAGCACGATTTTCCACAGCCATGGTTGATGGACAAGGCCGCATAACACTTAGAATACACTGCTCTCAAGTACATGTCTTTGCATTTTTCGCCAAGCTGCAAATAATTCTCCAGCTCACGGTGGAAGTTGGAGTCTTTCCCAATGTGCCGCTTGGTCACCGCTAAGGCTTCCCAAGTGATGCCAGCGCGGTGGAAGGAGCTGAAGGACTCTTTCCAGAGATTCTCAGGATAAATGCTACCTGAATCGCATCTCATGATTCCTTCAAACCACCGGCAGCCATGGCTGGTAGCCATGGCTTGTGGCCCTGGGGTTCACACAAGTGAGGAACATTCACGAACACATCCACTCCAGTCCATGAGTTTGGGGACTGACGTGGGCTTCACCCTGGACGCAAACCAGGGAAGGTCAGGTGGCGCAAAGTCCTCAAAACAAACAGTTCGGCGGGCGCAGGAGGGTTTTGAGCAACGACCTTCCTTTTGTGAATACAAGTGTGGTCGACAGGAAACATGGACTAAACGGCATGCTACATACCAGTGGTGATCTTCCCAAACTGTGTTATCATGCTTATCACCGACTGACTTAGTGGACATCAAGACCTCTCCAAGCGACTGAGCCCTTGAAACCAGGCAGAAGCCTCCTCCAGCCTTGGATTTGCAAGACTCAGCGACGGTGGACCCCTTCTTGGAAACATCCGGGCAAAAACAATGGTAAAGCATCAAACGATATGCCTCACCCATAGTCTGCCAAAATATTCAGATCAAATGCGGGTGTCGTTTGGAATGCTCAGGAACACCCAAAAATCATATCAAATCATAGCTTAGTCGGGAAATTCCATTGCAGGCTAAGTCGGCTAAGTCAACCCCATTGGTTCAGGGCATCCACTCTTATTACCGGATTGGTCGAGGAGGGAGACCCACATCACCTAGCAAGCTTGGTAAGTTGACACCCACCAGTGCTCTCCAAAAGCATGCCTATTTCCTTCTCCAAAAGCATGCAAGATCCTGAAGAACCACGCGAACCACAAGAAGGAGATCGCCTGCTTCACTGCCAAGAAGCTGCACCTTCAAGCTTAAGGCCTCCCCGCAGCGAACGGCTGCCATCAGCAGTGAGGCCTCAAGGAAAGGCGGAAACACAACAATATTTGATGCCTGTCCATGAGTTTTGGTTGACCTCTACAGGTTTTTCTGAACACACTCCCTGGGCTTCTTCGACCCTTCCATGAGTTTTGGTTTGCTGATCGAATGCTTTAAGTGTCAGCCCGATTTGGTCTTTTCATGCATTCTTGCTTCCTTCATCTTCTCGACCTCGAAAGTCCAATGCCCTGTGGTCTTTCTTCATTCAGGCTTCATAGGTTGCGATCGTGAGACAACTGAAGAGAGAAGAATAGTCGTTCACACAGGAAGCCTGACTGGGGCCTGTGAGATGCTTTGCTCACTATTTGACTGTCCGCTGCGTGCAGTTTTGCGCTTTGCGCTCAGGTAGGTGACTGGAAGGCTTGAAAGGAAGAGAAAAGGGGAATACAGGCTTTAAAAATTGTATCAAACACGGAAGAATTTCTTCGTCGAGGCTTGGCTCGGGGTTGCACGATGGGTTGGCATGCAAAAGTTCGTTGCCAAATCTAGAGTTCGCCCGCGATCTGTTTCCGATTTACGCTCTCAGCGTGGCAGTTTGCCTCTACAGTGCAGCATGTTCGCTGGAGATTCCTCATGCCTTGTTAGGGCCTTGTTTAATAACGATCCTTTTTGCCCAGTAAAGATCGTGAATTCTTGTGGAATCTCGCATTAAGACTTCGTTTTGTCTTCAAAGTTCAAAGTTCGTATCATGCGGTGTATGCAATCTGTTTTGCGGCGATTGGCTGTAATCTGCGCTTGCAGTGCTGTCTTGGGTTCTGCAGATTGCCCTGGGCCAATTTCTGGAAAGGAAAGGACATGCGTCACAGGTTTTCATGATGTTGTGAACTATCACGATGTGTAGGCACTTGCGGTGTTTTCAATTCAATATTTGGGAACAGTGTGTGTTTTTTTGATTTCCATGTGGTTTCGCCAAATGTACACTGGTGCCATCTCCTGGTAACAAGTCGTGACCTTTTGTCATGCATGCTCAAAATGGGTTGAATTAGGTCTGTATCGAGACCTGGAATTCGGCGTCTTTGTGCGAATGGCGCACAGCAGCAAGCAACATTCAGCAAGTTTTCTATTGCAGCATTGGGAAAACGTTACGTTTCGAGAACATTTAGCAGCGATCTTGGTCATTGGATACCAGTTGAGTCTACTGTGTGTTCTCAGTTTGATGGACTTAATATTTTCTTGCAAGGCATGTTATTGTCCCTTATCCATACCTTCATTTTTGAATCATCGTTTATGATCGTTTATGGACAATCAAACTTCTGCATTAAGCTATGCGCACAAGTGATCGTTTCACGCGAAACTACATGAACTTTCCATGAACTTTCCAGCACTGGGGTCTGGAGGCAATGTGTCTCAAGGCTGCTTTGCAGGCCGGCTTGGTGAATGAAATTGAATGCACAAGAAACCGACAAGGGGCAATCCCTTCAAACTTGGCAACGTTAGAACACCGCTTCTCTTTAGGTCCAAGAAACTACGCGCTTTTGAACGCATGCTTGCCACCAAATGGGGGGATGCAGCAGCTGCAGAGCCCCAAGTCTAACCGGGCGGAAGGCACCCTATCCTGCCAAACACCGTGCGGCAACAGCAATCTTCCGGCGCGACCGAGGTTAAGGACACCCAGCCAATTCGGCTTTTGATAGAGTTGGGTGCCGCCCACAATGCCGGGTCCAAAGACCTTCCTCTGGGCAACGCATCGGCCGCGCTCCCTGGCGAAGTCTGTGCCTGGCTGCAAATACCACCAAATCTCACGCCAAGTCCACACACAGGTGAAAACACTTTACAACCACTCAGCAACAGCCCCGTCTATACAAGCATGACATATTACACACAGACAGTGTATGTCATATCAGCGCTGGGTCTTTGTTCTGTCTTTTTTTCATCACCGATCCTTATGGCCCACGGCGCACGCCCAGTGGAACGGTAGAAACATATGGGTCGAGTTGCTTACCACAGTTCTTCCAACCACATCGTTTTTTCTCTGGAGGCTCATATGTTCCACAGCTCAAATAACATACGACCACCCGGCGCATGCTTCGCTTCTGCTCTGAGATAAGCTCGTGGGTGGCTTCAGTACGGATCCCACACTTCCACCAGTACCTTCCAAATTTCAGAGAACGGCGTGCGCATGATTCAATTGATTTCCACTCACGGGGTATTCCAATATCCAGGAAAGCGATGTCAGGGCTCCTCGTTGTCCAGTTGTTCAGAACGACTTCAAACCATCCGTCCAATCTCTGAGTAGCATCATATATGCCATAGGCGTTGGCTGCTCCAACACATCCAAATCCACAGCGCAAGCAGTCAGTCCAATACATCAGCCGCAGCCGGCCAAAACACAAGCAGGCTAGATTAAACGTTCCAAGCCTGTCTCAAAGCTGCTGGTATGCCTTGGGCATGCATCACATTCTTTTCGGAAGTATCGACATGCATATCTCCAAGGCATCCAGTGTCAGCATCTCGTTCAATCGCGAAAACACACACAAGCGCCACAAAAAACTATCACCTCAATCTTCAATGTGGTTTTGGGTGACAAAGGAAGCACAGAAACTCTTCACACGCGTCAAAGCCACTATCATTGTGAGCCGCCTAAGAAGCAAAGTCAACAAGAGTTAAGAAACAATAACGCTCTACCCATCAAGTTCTAGCAGCCCCAGCAGCAAGCGGTCCTTTTCCTGGTCAGGGTAAGCTGCACAAGCATGGGCTGCCACTGGTTGGCAGACGCATGCAGTCACACCTGACATTGCACTTGGGCAGTGAATAGGGAGGGAGGGTTGGGATTTCAAGCGATGCAGCTGTCCATTCACATCCATAAGCCAAGCACAGCTGCATATAAACTAGAAGGGTGAGTGTTAGGGCCAGCATCCTCAAGTAATCAAAAAACCAACACTCTACCCATCAAGTTCTAGCAGCCCCACCAATCCCAACCACACCAGCAGGCGGTCCTTTTCCTGGTCAGGGCAGGCTGCACAAGCGTTGGACCCCAAACTGCAGGGCGCAGCTAGCCCAGAGCAGGAAAAGGCACACCCCCAAAAGCCCCAACATGGTGCCATCCTGCTCAAGAATGCGCTCACGGCTGCCTAAGCAGCTCTGTAAATCAGTAGTGCGCCGGTTGGTTTCTAAAAATCATGAAAGTACTTGACCATGACTCAATGAATCTGCCCACTCATTGCGCGCGCGTGCCAGCCCAAGTTCAACATGTCGCCCTCCATCATACTCTCACACACGCAAGACACTTTCGCAGGACACTCGTGGGACACCTTCGTAGCCACATGTAGCCACCATCGCCTGATCAACCAGCTGCAGCTTCACGCATTCCAAAGTCACCCGCGCAACACACTCCTACCGCTCCAACCACAGGGTCACCCATGCAACACCCAAGGGTCACACGCAACACACCCAATCACCCACGCAACACTCAAGGGTCACCCATGCAACACACGCCTACCATCGCCTACCGCTCCAACCAAATGGTCAGCATGCAACAACACACTCCTACCGCTCCAAAGGCAAGCTCCCTCAGGCATGACATGCCGCCTGGGCGAGCGTCTCCAACGCGGCATTCAATCTGCCCTTAGCCTTGAATATCTGCGCCCACCCAAAAACCAATCTGGCAGATCTGTCCGGCGCAGCTGGTAGCTGAAAGGTGAATATTTGCAGCGGCCATGTGGCAGCGTGGGGATAGAAGCCGCCCGCCAATCCCCGCATCCACTGCGACCACCACCAGCGGGATGGGCTCCACCCTGCGCAAAAATTCGCTGAAGAACCACAACACCTCCACCACCGCCCCTCCTCTACGGCGTCGCAACGAACAAGCGTCTTGCACGCCCCCAGTCACGGAAGTATGCTGGACTATTTCACCGAGCTGCGCCGAATCTATATGCTAGGAAATGCAGCGCTGCTTTGTTGAGCGCATGAAGACTTGTAGCTACGGACGCAACCAATGCGCCCTGGAAGTGTACCCGCTGCCCCACCTTGGGAGATCTGCAAAAAGTTTGTAGGGCCTCTTGTAGCACAGCTAATCTCTCAATCGACGCGCCCCCCCCGTACGGGGACCTTCACTCGTGTGGGTTTGAGCGGCTCTGATGCTACCACCCGGCCGGGGGGCCTGTAGCAGCCACCTTCCTGCCATGATTAGGAAAAGGCGCTTGGGCCCTGCACCAAGAAAGCTGCACCACAGGTGTTCAACATGATTTGGTTCGATGAGGACGTCGCGCTCTTGGAAGAGAAGACAGAAAGCAGGCTTTGTCAGGCTGTCCGGCACATCGCGAGCGCAGTTCCTGCAGCTGAGGAGGGCATCTGCATCTAGATTCCGCCTGCAAGGTGTGAGACGGCCAGATCGCAGCTGCCTTGCAAGCATGGCAGAGAGAGGGTCATCATTCAAAGCTCAAATACCTTTCCCCGCGCATCCTACCACAGCCATGTTGTTGCTGTACTGTGCCAAGACAGCACGGTATGAACGGGGGTGCTTTCTGTAGAATCAGCACCGCCTGCGCCAGGAGTTCAAGGGCTGCTATATAGCTTTTCCAAGCGTATGGGCCACCCCCATTCCTTGGGCAAGTCAGATCGCTGCAACCCTGTTGAATCGAGGTCGATCTGTGGTCCCCAGGAAGAAAGCCGAGCCCAAGCTTTCCCATTCCTGAGTTTAGGCTGTCGCACCAAAATGTTTAAAAAAACTGCTGAAACTGGTTGGCCCGCAAGTTCCCGCAATTGCCAAGTCAGCTGAATGTCCGAATATGTCCGACCTTTCCGCAGCATGTCTTACAGAGAGGCTTAAATTCTTGTATTTGGTCCACCCGGAGCAGCTGCAACTTGGTAGTTGGTTTTCGCAAGGTGTGGAACATGAAAGAAACACACGGAGCTGCAGCCATAGCTGTAGCTGAGTTTCCTAAATAAGCTGCCCCAAGAAATGTTCGAGCTCTTCCCGCTGTATGTGCCGTAGATGCGCTTTGCCTCGAAGCTTGTTTTAAAAATATCACCAAGGCTTTCAACCTCGCTGAAGGCTGAAGTAGGGTGATGCGGACAACCAAGCGCTCAACAAGTGGACCCATGTCATAGCAAGTTTCTGCCAGGCTTCATCTTCGCTTTGTGAAGCCGTTTTGGCTTTGCCCAAACCACAGGCAAACGAGGGAATTTTGGCACGCGCAAACCTAGGTTCATGCCACATATCCACGGTTTCACTCCCTTCATCTGTTGCACGATGCAGAGCCGAAATCGGACAACCGGCCTTCCAAGCCGCCGAGCAAAGCTGGCTGAAAACGAACACACCTGTCGCTTCCAAGCTCAGGTGTTGCGGTGGCTCCTCTGGGCTTGTCAGCCTGTAGGGACCCAATGGTGTCCCAAAAGCTCGCCGACATTCCACGCACTCAGTCATTCACAAACACAAAATGTCTTGCAGGGTACGCGGAACAGCTAGGTCTTTGGTACACTGAGTGAGCCCCGCAAGTATATATACATAGTGTACATTGATCGAGGGGTCCGAGCTGGAGAGTGTGGGTAGTGCATTCACTAGTTCACGCACACCCGTCACAGTCAGCGATGTCCCAATGTCTAGCTTGTGCCAGGATATGGGGAACCTCGCCAAACGCCGCGGAGACAAGGCCAAGGTCCAGGTGTCGGCAGCGTAAAATTCGTTGTAACGGGAAGTGAGCGATGGCTATCTTTGGCCCTTTGAAGGTGCTCGCTTGATGCTCCAACCTAATGGTGATGGCCTCCAACCTACTAGGCTCGGAAACATAATGACATAAAAGAAATTCCACAGCAGCAGGAGCGGCAGGCTTGTAACATTCACTGCAGTACATAGATGGAAGCAAATGCCGGAGTGAACAGAACACTAGCATGCACCCTCATCAAAGAGCTCCATTGGTGTTCGGAAAAAAGAACACCAGCTTTGGACCTTGATGACATTTCTTGAAACATACTGCTGATGATCTCCTAAACATGCATCCCCAAAGCTACCTTCCAAAATCCTCACTTCCAGCTGGACTTCCGGATTGTCCACAGCAGGATGCTGCAGTCTTGACTGCGCCCCCAGAGACAGTAGCTCAATAGGTTTTACCCAAACCTGTTTGCAATGTCATCCTCCCCATCGCCAACGGCACTTCGTGCAAAAGGAGGCCTGCACGGCAGGGCTAGCATCCTCTCCAGTGGGCTTCTGCAGCAAGAAAATGGAGCCTGCCGAGGTCTTCTGCAGCCTGAACGGCTGTCGATTGCACTGCTGCTCCACCGACAGACTGCGGAGTAGACCGAAGTAGCGGCAGCAGGAACAATCGCAATAGCAACGTCGATGATAGAGAAAACAGCAGGTAGCTGCGGGATGAAAGCCCACCTAAGGAACGACCCGGGTACTAATTACTCCAACCACCTGTAGCCATCAACCATTTTGAATCACCTATGAGATCTTTGTTTGTACATATGTATATTATATATACAGTATTTAAAGATAGACAAGCAAAATGACATATTGTCCGTTCGTGGCTTTGTTTGTGTCGATCGACCGCAACGAAGGCGTCCATATCTGAGGCCCCTTCATTCAGTGTACCTAACTGCATATCAACACTTATAAAAACGGGTGCTGCATAGGAAAATACAGTAGATGGTTGAATGGTTTGACGCAGCTGTCTGAGCACCCCAAACTGATGACGGCTGACATCGTCCAGTTCCCTACCTCTTCGTTGTTGAATCCATTGGGCCCCCAGCTTTGCGACGCTTCAAAGCCTTCCAGCGAGAATCCATCTGTCCAACTCCCTGCCTCATCCCCAACTCCGGGATCTCCTCTGCGAGCAAACGCATCAAATGGTCCTCAACTACCTGGTGGAGCTGCGACTCTGGGAGTGGACGGATGGAGATTCACAAAGTACAATGTAAAACGTTTCATGTAAAAGACTTTAAGGATAAGAAAAAAAGATAGAAAAACACTTTAAAGAACCTACTAGCGATGGCCTTCAACCTAATAGCGATGGCCTCCAATATTGTTCCATTCCAAGGCTGGACCCTGCCACCGTCGCCGGTTCAGCGCCGTCGCTGCACCTGTCTCCGACTCGATCCAGCTGTGGTCAGTGGCACATCACACAGAGCAGTAAGCGCCTGCAGCTGCCGCAAAGCGCAGTTCTCCTGAACATGGACGGGATGAAGGGATGTGGCTGAACATCCAGCGGATGCAGGGAACTGCAGTCTTAGGCCTGGAGGTTTGGACAGTAGATTGTTACAATTAACCACCACCTACTTGGATTTCCAGAGTGGATGGCACTGGCACAGGAGCAAACCGTGGTTCTGGGCATGTCACCTATCAGGCCTAGCACATGAACAAAATGTCATCAGGATGTGAGAGGAATCTCGATGAGTTTTTCACCCACAGGACAGTGCCGCACGCAGTGGTGTCACTGGCTGCTCCCTCCCTTCCCACCATGCCCGGAGGGTCATGGGCAAACATGCCGGTCCTGCATAGCCCTGCATCACTTCAGAAATAGAAAGTCAAGACCACATGTTCCACACAGTTTACCTTGAGAGGGACACCTAGGGTAGGTCCTGAAATAAACAATCAAGCCCGGGCATCGACCATGCGAAAAATGCCAGGATACCCACCCTGGGTTTCGTGGAAAAACACCTCGCAGGCCCGTCGTTCAAAACGGGTATTGTATTTCTGGATCACTTATCCGCCTTGTCCACTCCCCCATCCTCCACCTCTCTTTCTGAGTCTCCAAGGAATCCCGCGAAAGCACCAACCCCAAACATCCGTGCGCCCAACTTTTCCTCTCATAGTCTAGCCTCGAAAGCAACGACTGGGACGGGTATCTCGTCAAAGAGCTGCAAACATGGGGAGGTACTCAGTTGGGGTATGGCGAGGGGAATGGATTCCGGGTTTGATGGATCTCGCCTATTGCAGTTGGAAGAAGAACTCTTTCAAGACTTGAAACATCTTGAAACTGATAATATCCCACTATGATCCAGTGCTTTTGGGGTCCCGATGTATGTAGAAAATCATTTGGTTGTAAGTCGATTGTAGTTCACTTGCGGGCTGCATTTTGTGTGCTCGGTACTCTTTTGGAATAAACCTGGACCATTTATCCCAAATCGAACGTAAAAAATGCTAGACCACCACTGTTAAAGTATCTTAAAGATATCGTCCACACCCCTTCTCGCAGGGTGTCGAGGCCATTCCCATTAGGTTGGAGGCCATTGCGCGTTGGTTTCATGGGAAGGGTGCAACAAAGAACACAACCCATTGCTCGGAGCGATCTAAGCGGTTTCCCTCCCAGCGCCCCGCCAGTCCAGGTCGCTCGTAGCCGCCGAACAGGCTCCCAGGATCCAAGGACAAGCGCTGTGCCAAGTGCTCAGCAGCTAAGGACGCCGAGCGGTTCAAGACCTGACACAAATGGATGAAGTTCGTGGTCAGTGGTTTTGGGATCTTGTCTGGTTTGGTGCAGGAATTCAACTGGCTGCAGACTTGTATTGTGGTAAACAGTTTTTTTGTCGAAATTTGTCAAAGGAAGTTTGGAAGAGAAAGTTCCGAGCAATAAAAAGTGGCGGACAAGTGTAGCGCTGGTGACGGGTGTTTGAAAGATGTTCGCATCGCCCTGAGAGAAGGGTATGGATTTAAAGGACTCAAAAAGTGTTGTGAGGGCCGCGGAAGATTGGCGGAGGGGCTTTGTGTGTGTGTGTGTGGCGCAGTTGTATGGGGGAAGGGAATTGGAGGATTCTGAACGCATTGTCAGGGCTGGGGAAGGTGTATGTGTGTGTCTGTGTGGCGCATGCACACTTCGTTTCGGGGAGGAAATTGCGGGAAAGGTGGCGGAGGGGTGTCATCAGTGGTGCAGTTTCCACTAGCGAAGGTTTGGGAGGATGCAAATTGCACTGGCAGGGCTGAGCCACTCCAAACGCAAAACGAGAACAGCCCCTGGCCAAGTCTAACCGCAGCGCATCGCTACACGATATAGTCAATGAGAGTGCAACATCGCATCACAACACATTGAGACACAACACCCTCTAACATTGCAAACACTTGTTGGGCCCATTGAACTGGCGGATCACATCATGACATGAAACAAACTATCATGACTTGAAACTTCTGCCCATCGGTCCTGCCGGGATCTACCTCATAATTCATCAGCCTCATTATTTGCACACACCGAACTCCATAAAATTGCAAACACGGTGATATCTGTTCAACCACGGTAGCCAAACAAACATGAAACCTGAACATACTACACAAGTTTCGAAGATTCCCAGGGGCTTCCAGGCAAGGGACGGTCATTCTTACTTCCTTCCCTCCCTTCGGATACTTTGAAGAGGTTCATTTGGAAATCCATGTTATTCTTTCGACACCACTTTTGGGCACACGTCGATCACAGCATATTTCAATGCCCCCCATAGCCTTCTCGATGCGTTCCTTGTAGGATGCTTCCAGTGCTGCCGGCGTCTGCTTGCCAGTGGCCAGAGTCAAGAAGGCCCATGGCAAGGCCAGCTTCATTAACCACACAATTGCCTTGGAACACCAAGAATCTACCGTCCTTTAGGGTGATTGTCCCTCTACCAACTTGGTGTTTTCCATGTTCCCTTGTCTGTTGGTCGGTTGTGGGAGAGACCGCTGACTCGGATGGTTGGGAGGCATTTACAATGGATTTACAACCGATCTGATTTCTCAGGGAGCGCATATTTCTGTCCCTTTGTCACATCTGACACAAGCGTGGGCGATGCGCGCATTTTTTTTGTGGGGATTGAAGGGCAAGCCTCCTTTGCTTTGGTGGAGCAGAATTGGTATATTGGTCTCAATAGGTTGCGTACGAGGTTGCGTGTATCCAATTCCGTGTAACAGTGGATGATGATGGTTAGTAAAGGCCTCTCCCCCAAATAGTGAGATTTGTCTACCGACTGTTACGGGACATAACAACTTGGTCAATGCTGCAAATTCTTTTCTGGTTTAAAATAAGGTTGGCTGAGCTATCCATTTCATGACCCCAGCATTTCTCAGGTCAAGTTTCAAGCAGGGATGATCCCCTGCCAGGGTCAGTGATTGAAACGCTCCGTTCAGGGACTTGGGATATCTCACCGGGTAATTCTCATTTTGCTACTCAGAAAGAACCAACAGTAGTCGTATTTCTTTGGGATTCACTAGCATTCCATATTCAAGGTACTCTCCTGCAAACCACAATGCCCCCTCTGAAAACACTTTGGAGTTTTACCATTTTCATCGATATCTTCTCTGCATCTCCACCACAGGTGTGGATGAACACCTATTCTGTGATATCACTTGGGTGACTGCAGTGCGTGGATGCACTTTTCCATCAATTGAAAACATTGGCATCACCGCAGGCACACATCGATCAACCACTGATTTTGGCTAGCTCCTTTACTTCTCGGAGAAACAATTCAACTAAATATAGCTTCAGCACTCCCAACCATACTTGCCAACAAATCCCTCAACAAACCTGTCGTAGAGCCCCAATCAAATCCCTCAACGGGCCACAGGAACCCTCACCATCACTGTGCATTTTTTGCCGTCCCGGCGCACTGTGACAACGGCGGGCGACCGACTAGGACAATCAATAAAAGCCCTCACATCTTGTGGAGGGGCAAACAAGGCCGGGAAAGGGTAAGCTGAGACTTGCGGAAGTGGAGAATATTGCCTTGAAAGACTGTATCTTCATTTACAGAGGAGGTTCCACGTCCACTTGTTAGACAAAAGTTCAAATGATTGGAGCATGGAGTTCCCATGAATTCCCTAAACATCTAAGCTATCCTGCGTCCAGTAGCTAGTAGCTTACCTCCCTGGTAGCTACCTCTTCTAGCGGCCTACCACCCCGGGCTTAAAACAACACAAAAACATCCTAAACAAACACCTACAGTCCAGTACTGGTGGGGGTTTGATGCGTTGATTGTTCCATTCTGTTCGTTCTGAATTCAAGCCGCCCAAGTTTGGAGAGAACTGAAGGTACTCACCAGTGCAATTCAGTCGCCAACGGATCAACCAAGAGAATAGCTCCCATCACTACGTACAGTCTGTTGTAGTGTCTGGGATATCTTCTACATCAGCTGGTGCAACAGGACTTCAACAGTACGGAAGCTCTGCCCCCTGCATTTCCACGACCCTGCAAGTTTTCCTCATCGTCTTCGTCTCAGTGACGCCTCAAGCAAATCAGAGCTGTGTAGCTTCATCGGATGTGGGTTGGACTTGCAGGGGATGTTGCATCTCAAGGCTTTCAATGAGTTGCCGGAAGCCTCAAGGGACCCAGGGATGGAAAAGCCAGTATATATAAGTTCCTTTCGGACATGAACTGATTTAAGCATTGGTCGAGGAAACTCATTCTCAAGAGGTCTGGTCACCCCATTGGTCAATGTTCTTCACAGGGAGGGCATGGCATGATTCCGTGATGTTGAACTCGTAGAAACTTGTGGAGTCAGGACAGGAGGGTCAGGAGCCACCACTATGGATTAAACCAACATCTGTGGCTGCTTGACATCTAAACCTGGACTTCCTACCAAACACGGTCAACTCATCCCGTGGGCACGTGCAAGATGAATTGGTTTTGCATTTTTGACTCACACCCTTCTTTATCGAACTTCTTGGTCATCTTTTCACAGTCTTCCCTGCCTTCATCCCAACCTGCGCCTTCCTCCGAACTGCCGACCGCGCAAACACTGGTCCAGGAAGCCTGGAACTGCAAGAAGCGCGCCATGTGCTGAGCAGTCAAAGCAGAGGCCACCTAACACAGGCGTGTGTCAAAAGGAGAGCCCCCTGCCTGAACTTTGTGGATTCAAAGGGGGGTTGTCCGTTGTTCCTACAGTGGTGATGCATGCGACTCTTTTAATGGTCATTCTACTGGCTTCGTGGTGACGATTCAGTTTCTTGAAGAACGAAGCTTGATAAACTGAACCGTGTTCAACTCTAATAAGTGGTACATGTTTCCTGCTCGGAAGGAATTATCAAACAATTACCGACTCAGCATCTAACTATCGACTATCCTATGTATTTCGGAATTTCCATTTTGTAGCCGTAGAATGCTGTAGATGAATGATGCTTAGCAATGCTAGCAAGGTCCCTCCCAAAGAGTTGCCATTGGGCGTCTCTCCAACAGCTAGTGACAAGGCACGCCCTCTAGCCAAAAAACATGGAAGAGTAACATGGCCCCTTGGAAAACATGCTTTCTACAAATAGTAATAGGGTTTTTGTATGTTTTTGTCACTTCCATTGTGTAACTCGTGTGACCGCGGAGTGGACTTGGTAAACACGTCTTGAAGCCGCCTCTGCCGAGCTGAAGTCTTCCCCCGCGCCATGGTGTGCCAACAGGCGACACCTCGGATAGCTTCGAAATCCCCGAAGCATGCAATGTCAGTGTAGGGTAGATGGCCCAAATCTCGGAAGGTGGTTTACATTGATCTCCATGTGAAGTGATCGAACTGAGCTTATTCTGTTTCGTCGAGCCCATCGAACCTCAAATCCACATATCAATGCAAAAGTACAACAACCAACACTGCACAACAAGACATGCAAGGCACAAATGCAACATATGGCAAGGTGCAAGAAACATACCTTCAAACGGAACCCACGGGAGTACAGACCAAAGGGAACAACCAACACAACAACTCAAACGACCACTTGGTAAATCCAACCATACACATCCAGCACGGACGGAGAAACATCAATCAATTAACGCTGTGTGCGTTCAGGCTCCGACGAAGCCATTTGTGTGTTCTTTGTTCGTTGGATGATGATTGGTACTTATGCTTGTGTAGACAAAACTTGTTGTAAATACATAGTATGATCTAAGACGGTTCTGCAATGTGTAGTACTTGCTATACTGGTGAATCATCCAATACAATTGATCATGCGTATTGATGAAGAATACTGTCATACCCGCCTGCAACACGGACCCTGGCAGAGTGCCCTTGAAAGAGGAACGCCCTGTACATATAATTTCGGATCCCTTTATTAATCAAAGGTCGACATTAGTAGTAACAAGAAGCTAGTAGAAACCAGTGCATCGCTTCTAGTAACAAGTGCCTTACTAGTAGTAACAAGAAGCTAGTAGAAACAAGAAGTAAGGCACTTGTTACTAGGAGGGATGCACTTGTTCCTAGTAGCGATGCCCTTGTTTCTAAGGTCGACAATATGTAGTTGATTGGTGGAGTCCCTGTCATCCCATGTGGTCTTTCTGTGGTCCAGCGTCTGACGTCAAACTCACATGGGACGTTCGACCAGCCACTGCGGTGAGAGGTTTTGCCAAGGCTGAAAGCAGGGTGGTCACCAGCGGGCTCGTAAAGCGTGCATTGGGGGTGCTGCCATCACAAGCTTGCATGCGCACACGCAAGTTCATGTCAAAGCCACTTTGCGAACTCATGGAAAGCCCTCAAAAACAGCAGCTTTCTCCTACTGCTAGCTACCCGAAACAATGTTCCACTTCCCTCAAAAGTGCACTCAAAGGAGTCTTTCTACACGCAAGTTCATGCTACAGGTTCCGAAACCCTCACGGGTGGACTTTGAACAACATCAGAAGATGCAGGAAGGTGGCGAACGTGAATCATTTCTGACGGCAGTGTTCTCGAGTCATCGAGGAGAGTCAAGAACAACTCAGGGCAGAGATGAGATGATTCCAGCATTCTTCAAAACATGTGAAGGCGAGAATGAGGACCTTCTGGACTATCCACACTAGATTCACTTATACAAGCCATGTCTTTCCTAGCTTGCACCACAAATCCTACACCGTGGATGTCATTGTCACTTGCCCCGTTTGATCTTGTCCCGCCGACCAACGACTTGTCAAACAAGCGACATCTCGCAGTACCAACGGCATAGGTCCGGCCTGTCAGGAATCCAAAATCAACAGTCTGACCAGGAAGTGGGTGGTGGAGAAAGCAGCAACCATCAAATGAAAGGAGGGCAAAGAGATACAAAGGCTGACACCTCTGTAAGCAAGATGCCGTGAACATGTGTTTGTCTATTTGGAGGCTGCAACAAGATCCTGGGCCTTTGACTACCTTAACTTAAACAATGTTGAATCTAATTCCAACAGATTTCACTATGTCACCATATGTCACCATAATATACCATACTAATGTCATATTTTGACACCAACGAGTTGTTCCCATATCAAGAGCTTTGTCGCTGTTCACTATAGAATCAGTAGATCTTGTTCATCAACACAGCAACACGAGTACGAAGAAAACCTTAGGAACATCATCCCACAGGAACGATCTAGTAACAAGAAGCTACTAGTAACAAGGGCATCGCTACTAGGAACAAGGGCATTGCTACTAGTAGCAAGGCCGCTACTGGTAGCTCCTGGAAGGTAAAACAATATCAAGATATGTCAAGAATCATTCCTATCGGTGGATCGGTGGATCCTAGCAATCATCCACTATAGTAGTCAGGGTAAACCCGTCCACGGTTTCCCGGTTTGGTCTACGCTTCAGCCTTTAGGCCTACTGAGTACTAGTTCTGGCAGAGGCTGCAGCTGGATTCAGCCTAGTCTGCAGCTCTTCAGCAGTCTAGCACAGTGTGACATCAACATAATCCAGTTACACTG